AGAAGCAGAGGCGGCAGGGAGCGCGGAGAACTGCAGCCATGGTGAGCCGGGCGCTCCAGCGGGTCCGCGCGGCGAGGGGTGCTGCGCCGCCTCGGTGTGGCCGGCCCCGCTCCACCCCGGCGCTCGGTGTAACGGCGGGCTCTTGCAGACGGTGGGAAAGAGCAGCAAGATGCTGCAGCACATCGACTACCGGATGCGGTGTATCCTGCAGGATGGCCGCGTCTTCATCGGCACCTTCAAGGCCTTCGACAAGCACATGAACCTCATCCTCTGCGACTGCGACGAGTTCCGCAAGATCAAGTGAGCGGCGCGGCCCGCCGCGGTGCCCCCCCGCCCCTCGGTGCCCTCCCCCCCCCAGCCCCGCTGCGGCGGGAGGCCCGGGGGGCCGTCTGCCCACTCAGCGAGAGCTGGCCCAGCAGCTGGGTAATGTCTGCTGCCAGCTTCGGCAGAAATGGCCACAGTTTTAGTCTCACCTGTCGAACCCCACAACTACCGAGGTTCAAGAGGCACTTTGTTTCAGTTCTTTCCTAGTAACCAAAATAGACCTTTGTGTCATGCCAGCATAGTCACTGTAATGGTAAAGCATCATGGGGAAAAAAAATCACGGAGGTGACATGCACCTTGTGTTTGGACTTATCTATGCGCTTAGTTTCAGGCATATAAAAATGTGGGGTTTACAGTAGGTCTTCCTCTGTAGAGTAGCCTAGTCTCATATTCTATTAGAAATTCAAAGAGCAGCATTGATTTTTTATTTTTTTCCCTCTCTCTGTCTTGCAATATTTTCTAACTTTTCTCACTAGACCTAAAAATTCAAAACAGCCAGAGCGGGAGGAGAAACGAGTCCTTGGTCTTGTGTTGCTGCGAGGAGAAAACCTGGTGTCCATGACAGTTGAAGGACCCCCTCCAAAAGACGTAAGGAGAATGAGAGCAGAACGAAGGGGAAGGGGCATCTGATAAACTTGCTTTCTTGCCGGAGAATGGTATTGTCCTAGACTTCCAGATGCCATTGCGATTAAGTCCAATGAACTTTGCTGCAGGAAGTTCTAATCCCTTTGTGGGCTTGGACATTAACTGGACAAAGGAAGGCTGTGGGCATCCCTAGGATCTGAGGACTTTTTTTTTTTTTTTGACAAGTCTTTCTTTTGGGTGGGTCTGTTTTCAGACTGGAATTGCCCGGGTACCTCTTGCTGGAGCTGCTGGAGGACCTGGAGTCGGGAGAGCAGCAGGAAGGGGAGTACCAGCTGGTGCGCCCATGCCACAAGCTCCAGCAGGATTAGCTGGCCCTGTCAGAGGAGTGGGAGGACCATCCCAACAGGTGAGATGCTGTGACCAATTAAAAAAGAGTTGTCTGATATATTCTGGGGTGGCTTTTAATTCTTGGTAGCAATGTGATGCAAGAAATTGGGGGAGTGTGTTACAGAGTTTTCAAACGTGGGTTTCTCTAGGTTTGCTTTATTAACAACTCAGAGTTGGGCCACCACCGCGGTGAATGGCAACCTTCCAAAAATTTCCCAATCTTGTATACCTTTTTACCACCCATTGTCCCAGTCCAAAGTCTTTGTAACTGTCCGCTTGATCTCGGTTCCCATGTCGTTATCATTCATCAATTTATCTCATCAATTCTCGTGTCCCGGTTCTTCTGAAGTTAGTGGTCGTAGGCAGAAGGTCTTGGGTCACCACAATCACTTATCTTCTTACGCATCAAAGATTACCTTTGAATTTCTGAAAATCACTCAGGCTATTCTATTAATTTATCTTGTTCTAAAGTTAATCACTTACTCCCATGTCTTAGGTCTAAGATGTATGATCCCTCTTCTATTGATGCAGCTTGACTGGGTTTCAAGCCAGCCATGGAGGGGGAGACACATAGGCTTAATAAGCAGCTTATGCATATTGTTTTATAAGTACCTGCATTCTATTAATCATATCTAAACCAATTTCTAATCATTAGTTATATGTCTAATATGAATAGTCTTAGAAAAAACAATAAGGCTTGAGGCCTAGCTCCTTTTACAGAGTGTAATCTTAGTTTCTGTTACCGCAGAGTTTGAGCCTAGCAAGGCTTTTTTGGTACTAGATCCCCCTAGGGACTGTCTAATATGATGGAAGAAGAGGCTTGAAAAGTGCAGCTTCTTGCACAGAATTCAAGTGGTATCCGCCGAATTGTATGTTTGTAGTATTACTTAATACATTAAGAGGAGACTGGTGTAATTTTCTGAAGGGATAATAACTCTTGCTTATTTTTTAGTTTACTGTGAAGCAGATGTTGTGCTGTTTCTCTGTGAACCTGTTTTATTTTGTTTACAGGTGATGACACCTCAAGGTCGTGGAACAGTTGCAGCTGCTGCTGCAGCAGCCACTGCTAGCATTGCAGGAGCCCCAACTCAATACACACCAGGGCGTGGGGGTCCTCCCCCACCCATGAGCAGAGGAGCACCTCCTCCAGGTAGGAATTACTCGATGGAGTGGAGCAGCAAGGAGCTCATGTTATTTGGCAAAATTGGTGATAAAGAGGCATTTATCAGAGTCTGACGAAGATCTGGTATGGAATGTAGGATTATTCCGATACCCAACTAGTGCCTTGACTATTCAGCTGGATTTATGTGCTTGTTTTTTCTCTGGCTTAAGGAATGATGGGACCTCCTCCAGGCATGAGACCACCTATGGGCCCACCAATGGGAATGCCACCTGGCCGAGGTGCTCCTATGGGAATGCCCCCACCAGGCATGAGACCACCACCCCCAGGAATGAGAGGTGAGCAGAGGTTATCTTAAATGCCTAGAAGCAATAAGAAGCCATAACATAAATAAAATGTTTGAAGGGTGAAATGTTTCAATGGCTCCCTAGCTATGCTAGTTGTCAATAAATGCCTCAGTGCCAAAAAAGGGGTCCTAAGGCCACTTTGAGCATAAACATCTTTCTGGTTTAGCCATGCTTCTTCTTTCCTCTTCAGTATTCAACTCTTTCCTTTTTTCCTAGGACCCCCTCCACCTGGCATGCGTCCACCAAGGCCGTAAGATATTCTGTAATGTACCTTTGAACTGTAAGAAGACCAATTAAGAGAATATACCGAGCAGTACCACCTGTCAAAACTTTGCTATGTATATTTTATATTTACTGCTTGTAAAGTTTGCCCTTTTTAATAAAGTTGGAAAACCCAATAACTTGAGGCACTTTTGTACTGGTCTATTTCAGAAGTGCAGCCATTACCTTTCACTACTGCACTTTGGTGACCCCGGAAGAAGAGCAGGTGTGAAGCAAAAAGCTCAATTTGTATTGACAGTTCAGAAGTTAATGGTTGGTCTGGACCACTTAGGCCCATCTTGGTCTGTGCTCCTTACAGGAATTAAAGCATATCAGTGAAATTTAGCAAGGCTGATGAAAAAAAATTGTTGGCATGGTGGAGATGGTAAAAATTCAAAGAGAGTTTAAACATTTTGATGAAATTAAGTGTGGGTCACTGATCAGAATTCTCCCTGCTCTACTCATAGTGGGACAAGTACAACAGTGCCTGTATTAGGAATAGTGATCTCTGATGCTCTGCATTAAGCTGCTGCTTATTAGCCTGCAGTAAACCTGCTTGATCTTTACAGGTGGAGCTGCATTGCTTCCATTAAAAAAAAAAAGTCAGGATGAACAAACCTATCATTAATTACATACAATAATGTCAACCAGCTTGCATTCTGGTTGTAGTCTTCCTGCCTCAGCTTACAGCTGCTTTTTTTTCAGTTAGGAGGAAGCTGTCTGCCCCCCCAACCTTTGGAGACAATCTTTCCTCAGACAGTAGCTTCTTGGAAGGTTTGTTTTAATTCCTGTGACTGTTACCTCTGAAATCATCTTTGTGTCAGGTAGCCTGAAAAACTTTTTTTCCCTATCTTAGAAATAGCACCTCAACTATAGAAATCCTTTTCAGCCATATTGATTAATCAGGATCACAGAAGTATATAAACAAAGTAGTAAGTGTTCTCCAGTTTTTGCCTTAAAGGCCACTTGACCTACATGAACTAAGTCTGATAGAAAGATGTAACATATCCCAGCTCTTAGTTGCTCTAGTTATCCTATAAAACAGATGAAACTTTTTAAAAAAAAAGGAATCAATCCTTTATTGCATGGGCTGCTGAAGATGTTTTCATACAGGGTCTTCAACCAGGTATTAACAAACACCCCAAAGCTATTCCAGAACTTGAAGAAAAAATATTCAATATTACTGAAGTTGTCTCCTTGCAGTACAAAGCAATCCAGGCCGTGGAGAGAGCGTGTCTGAAATCACCCATTTGGTAATGACCAACAGTTCTTACTTTCTCTTGTACCTGAAAGAGAAGATATTTGAAATTACATTCTACCAGCCCAACGCTCAATGACAGACAAGGAACAGAACTGAGCATTTTCTAGGCAATGTTCTCCCAAGTAGAAGCCTAGGAATGTGCTATTAAAGGCAGTATTCTTGATTGCCCTCAGCATCAGACCTGCAGTAGAGAAGCATAAGCTACTGCAGAACCAACAAACCTTTTAGCAAGGGCCTTTAAACAATCACAAGATGAGGGTAGAGAGCAGGAAAAAGAATAATCTTGAATAAGAAAGTAAAGGGAGCTATACCTGGACTTGGACTTGAAGTTTCCTCCTTTCCTATGTTGGGCCATACCCAAGCGTTTCCGATCTTCAAATGA